TTGGATAGTTCCGATATTGGCGAATTCAAGGACAGGCAGTTTATTGACGTTAGTTTGATAGAATTATTAGAGGTATCTAGTATTAGTGTTTTTCAAAATTCTGAAATTTTACATTTTCTTATTAAACTCCCTAGCCCAAAATTACATGTAAGAAGATAACAGTCTATCCAGTTTAGCACCAGAAAAAAATCCTGGACTTTGAAGATGGGAACCTTGTCGCCGAATGCCCAGCGCCTTAACATCGGTCACTGCAAAACGGCGGTCGGCGCCACCTTCTGCAGGGAGCTGCAAAATGGCACCTGCGACCAGCTAATAGTTTCTGGGGCTATTGCGTACTGCTCCACGCACCCAGGTCACCTGGATTCGGTTACCATTGTGGATCATGGCACCCTCATCGTGAACGATGCCAACGTGGCCATAACCGACAACCAAGGGCGAGAGAAAAAAATATCCGGAACCTATCTGGTAACCTGTTCTGACAAGGAAATTTGTTCGTTAATCAATTGGGAAATTCAATGAGAAAGTCTGCTGTGTCGGCCATGGCCATAGTCAACATCACGGCCCACCAGAACCGGCTGAGTCTCCCATTTCTTCACGAGCTGAGTCTGAGCAATCTGCACCACATCGGGACCCTCAGAGAAGAACTTACCGAACGGTTTTAAAACTTATATGTAATTAAATTAAAATTCATAAAACCACTATCCCCACCATATTCGGAGAAGCGAATCATGTCTTTGAAATATGCAAAACATAACTAACAGCTTTTACTAAGTACCAATCCTTTGCTCCTTTAATCTTGTGTTGGAGCTGTTTGAGGTCACTTGGAGACTTCATCTTGTCAACTGATAACTAACGCCGTCCGTTTTGGAATTATGCTCTTACGACTGAAACTCTAGTTCAATCATCGACAAAAACGCGACCAGTTATATAAAGAGATAAATGCGGTTGTAGGCCGAATGAATCAATTAATTTTAAAAGCTAAAGTTCTTTTCAAACCTTAAATTTGTTGTTATCTTTGACCTAAAAGTTGCATTCAGCCATGAAAATCGAAATTGTTCACCAAATTAATACTAATAAAAAACAAAATTTGTATTTTTACTTATATTTAAAATAAATTAAGAACCGCTAGCACACGGCCCACCCTCTACTGCTGGGGCAGAAGGTTGTCTTCAGCGACGACGACAAGCGCTCCCACGACGATTAAGGCTCCCTTTGTTGCCACTTGGGCCGTTGCTGGAGGATAGAAATGTACTCCCGGGACCATCGCTGCGAAAACCTGTGCCTGAGAGACGAGAACCCTTGCCATCGCATATTGGTAGGTTCCATAGGACATAAATATAAAAAATTCAATGTGAAAATTATGACTGTACCAATGTACCAATTCTTATTTATAATTGGTCTAGCTATTTGAATTTATTCATCTTTTTGTTTTGCTCTATCTGTCCTCTTCAAGAATAGCATCGAAAGAGTGAGCATGATATTTATTGGGTATTTCTGCAACGTGCAAGGGAAGCTTTTCCTAAAAAAATTGTTTAAGCTTATTAAAAACAAGTTTTTCTGCAATAAAAGTGCTTAATATTTTAAATAAAGATATTAAGTTTCATTTTACAAAAAAAAAGTATATGTAGTTGTTTTGCGTTTTGTGTAAATCAATATTGTATTTAGTACATAAGTGTGAGCTTTCTTGGTTTGTAATTTCTGTGTTTGGTTAGAGTTTTAGTTGTGATGGCATTCTTTGGCACAAAAATTTTTTTTGTATAATATTCTTAAGCATTTTAAGAATATAAGAATGTTTAATTCGTGTGCCAAAAGTTGCCGAACGGCTTGCAATTATACAAAAAGGTAATCTAACCTCAATTTTAAAAAAAAAGACGTGCTTCTGCTGTGTGTTGTAGTTTGTTGCCGTTTCTTGAATTGTATTTGCGTTTGTTGTTATTTTTATGTTATGTTTTGTGTTTATATTCTTTTCTTTAAAATAAAAGCTTATTATTTCCTTTTGAGTGCCAATTTTCACGATTGCGTTCTGTTTTGTGTCGTATCAATGAAAGCTATATGATATAGTTGTGCGATTTTATAACCGAATATCGGGAATACTAAACTATTTTTAAATCTTAATCTTTAAAAAAAATGTAAAAACAAAAAAGTTATGAAAGCTATAGGATATAGTGGTACGATCTGGCCAATTATTGTCCTATATATGCAGTTGCGAATGTTTCGATATCGCCCCCTGCTCCTCCAGACGTGCCCGGAACTCCTTCATGTTCCGATCTGCGTCGACGAAGATGGTGGCGTTGTCGCACCACGCCTTCTACGGAATCCCGCGACGACTCACGAACCTTTGAAATGCCAACAAGAACGTATCAGTGGTTAGGTCAGACACTAATTCTTAGTGGGCCGCTTTGAACGCAAAACAGACGAACAAGGCCAGTTCCCCATAATTTGCGTCAAGGGTTTCGACTTGCAGCGAAAGCATTGCATACACGACGGAACTGTTGGTCGGCAGACTCTTTGAGCATTTACTAGCGATACTTTCTCGCGAAGACGACTTACAAGAGCTCGTGGGCCAGTGTGACACAGGGAAGCTTTTCGACCGCAACAACGAGAACTAGGCTTCGTACGGGATAAGAGCATTCAATAACCGACCCCCAACTCGTAGCAATGTCGAGGAACACCAATCTAATTTATTTTCCTGAATAAAAGGTTTTAGATTTTGAATATTCGATGCTACCGGTTTATTTTTCCGAATTTTACTTATGTCGTCCCTGAGTTCGTGAAATTGGATAGCTTCAACAATTTTCTCAAAAGCGAAATCCAGTTCTCTTGGAGAAATACTTTTTTCGACACCTTTCTGCGCCTTTGAATAAAACGGAAAACCTTCAAGAACACTCACAGAAGCTTGAGGTGCGACGAAAAGGACAATTTAGCAATGGCCTGACACAATAATAGAGGCAGGTTTCACACAGCTCAAGGCGAGGCAAAGTTTTCGTCTTGAGGGGAGCTACTTTCGATTTTGCGGTCAATAAAGACACTTTCAACCCAACAACAGTTTGAGTACGAACGTGGATGCACGCTCTAAAAATTCGCATGGAAATTATGTATTTGAATCGGGAATTGTGGATCTGTGTGATCCGGCAGCTGCAGAAGCGTCACTTTAATCGACTCCTATGATGTAAGCAACTGCATCGGTAGGGACTCGTCCCAGTCTAATTTTCGAAATTGAAAGTAATCATTAACCGGTAACCAAACCACGCTAAGGGTCTTAGTTACGTCTGAGTTTGCCATAAGTGGCATTACAGCGTTGTCAGATGGGGATAACTCTGGGCAGTTTGAAAACTACTTTGCCAATTCAAAACCTGCCTCTTGCATGACCTGAGAAACTTCGTCTCGAATATTTTGCAGGTCCTCAACGCAGCCGGCGCCAGTCAACAAATCGTCAACATATAAATCATTCATTCGGAAGGAGTCCATAGTATGAGTTGAAAGTTTCGGTCAGCTTCGTCCACCATCACTTGGCGATACATCTTTTTGTCGTCAGCCGCAAGGGCAAACTTATGCATTCTAAACCGAAGCAGGGTCGAGTACAGCTCCTCAAGATGTCATTCAACGCTACCTGCGTGGAAGTACGGTTCGATGCATCAAAAACTTTTCTCAACTTAATTTGTTACCCGAACCGAAACGAATAATTTGCTTGTGTGTGTTTGTTAATTTGTTTGTGGCGAGAGACGGGGCGAATTCGCAAGAGCGAACAAACGAAAGCTTTATTGGGTCCCGCTCTCGCTCTACAACTTATATTTTCAATTTAAATATCAGCGTCAAGTGCGCAAACACTCATCTTGATTGAAGCAATAACGACACGGGTCGATTATATTTCTTCAGGAAAGAGCAGACGATGTTTGCTTTTGCTGACTCCAGCTTCGGGGTGAATTTTTAGGAAAAAAAAGCAGGTGATAAAGACTCCTATAGACTGGACCTCTGGGCGGGGCTAAGCCGGGTAAAATTCTTCGGGGAAAAGCAGGTAATGTTCCCCCCATTCGAAAAAAGCTGAGACAACAAGATTGTTTGAGAAAATAAGAAATGTTTAAAAAAAAAGCTGATGTTTATAAATATGCAATGATCGATTATTTAATTATTAAAATAAAATGTTGTCTCAAAAAATTATTATTGAAATTGTACCTATAGATTCGGACGCTTACTGTAAAAGTAACTGTTTAAATTCCTATGTGAGCATACAAAATCATACACACTTTTAAAATCAAAACCAATTTTTACATAAATATTTCGAAATTTTGATCAAAAAATTTAAGGACGCGAGTCTGAGATATATTATATGTAAAGAAGCCGTTTATACCCGTTACTCGTAGTTTAAAATGGTATTTATTTATTTTGATATATCCTAGCGCTACAATTTTGGTTAACTTATAATTTATAGGACAATTAAAATGTTGGTCTTATTTAAAAAGGCATGCATGTTGACTAAGCATGTTGACTAAGCATGTTGACTACCATGGGCATGTTGTTTTTATAGATTAATCTGCCGACCACAAGCTTTCCATAAGATAGTTCGATTTATGTACATTTATAGTATATGTAATGAAATGAAAATTCATAAAACAACTATCCCCACCATATTCGGAGAAGCGATTCATGTCTTTGAAATAAGCAAAACCTAGCTAACAGTTTTTACTAAGTACCAATCCTTTGCTCCTTTAATCTTGTGTTGAAGCTGTTTGAGGTCACTTGGTGATTTCATCTTGTCAACTGATAACTAACGCCGTGCGTTTTGGAATTATGCTCTTAGGACTGAAACTCTAGTTCAATCATCGACAAAAAACGCGATCAGTTATATAAAGAGAGGTTGTAGGCCGAATGAATCAATGAATTTTAAAAGCCTACAGTTCAAAGTTTCAAACCTTAAATTTGTTGTTACCTTTGACCTAAAAGTTGCATTCAGCCATGAAAATCGAAATTGTTCACCAAATTAATACTAATAAAAAACATAATTTGAATTTTTACTTATATTTAAAATAAATTAAAAAATGTGTAAATTAAAATTTATGTGAGCCAAGACGGATCTTAGTTTTACAAGTCGTTTTATTCAGATTTTCGGATTTTCGAAAGTGGGTCCTCGAGTAATAGAAATATCTGCATAGGGGGCAGATTGAGCAATGTGAAGCACCTTAAATTTCTTTAAGACAAGCAAGGAGTAAAACTTTTGAGCCGCCTGAAATAAAAAAGAAATATCATCATTAATTAAAATTGTTCTCAGCTATCTGTAAATACGAAACCAATACAAATGTTGCCGTGAGAAGACACACACAACGGCAACTCTACAAATGGTGTTGTAATACGGTCAAAGTGATGTGAAAGAATATACATGTGAGTAGCTTGCTTTCGTTGTTTAAATAAAATCCAAATTGTTGACCAACTTAATAATACAGGTACACAAAATCGAACTTTTTCAAATTTCCACGAATCAATTTCGTATTATCTACTTCTATTTACTCTCCCATTTTATAAAAGTCATGGCACCCTTAAAATGTGTTGAAATAAAAGCCAATTTATTTATACAAGTCAGAACATACATTTTTCACATATGTATGTATACAGAACTGGACAAGCAAAAAAATGTTTGTTTTGGTTTTGTTTTAATTGTGTTTATTGTTTCAAAAATAATTAAGTAATTGTATTTTCCAAACAAAACATTTTTTTCGATTCCAAGAAGGTTTTTTTTTTTTTTAATCTTAAGATACTGTATTTATATATATATATATATATGAATATATTCAATATAGTCTCACAAAATTTACAAATAGAATGACGGAACAATATTGTTAACTGTGTATCATAAAAAAAGAGGTTGGTTGCTCACAGGACAGTTCGAGAGCACATTTTTACAAACTTTTCCAGTTGATCTGTACACGAAATTTACCCATCAAATCATTCAACGATTACTTTAAAATTTTGTTGGAAATCGAAAAATCGAAAATAACAGTAATGGAGTACTCTAAACATTACATCTCAGAAAATGTCTTGAAAGAAACACCAATCTCTCCACTTGAAGAAACATTATCGTCTACTTCCACTTGCTCACAGCAGTCAAATATTTGAAACCCCTGTCAACAGCGCCCCTTGAGGTGAAAAAGCTTTTTTTCTTATCTGTAATAACTACAATTTATTTATATTAAAAGTATTTTTTTTTTATAAAAAAATTTTTTTTCTATTTTTAAGAAATATTGCTTTATGATTTAAGAAATAATATTTCTAGACTTAAGAAATTTTATTTTTATTTTATTTTATTTCTCGGTTTAAGATCTGCATTTCTTGTTTGAAGAAAAGAATCACCAATTATTTAAGAAAGAAATTTTCTTCAAATGGAGGCGACTCGCCTTTGGCGAAAATTCAAAGGCGATTTCAATGGATTTTAAGAAGAAATTTCTATGAGTGTTTATGTAAGAGCTTTGACCAACTGCATTATCTTAGTTAATACTTTTCCATTCATCTCAAAACAGTTACATGTTTACAAATTTCAGTCACATTTTTGCTACCAACGCAACCACAGTGCAGCGCGCATATCGACCCATTTAATTTAGAATGTTCGATGAATGCAGATTAAGATCAAACCAAACAGTTGGCGTATCATTTATTAACAATATATTTTCATGCCATTATATACGGTAAATTACAATTAATTTCTAGTTGTGTAACATTGTTCAAGGTAATTTTTTTTAGATAATTGAAAAGTTGTAATGTAAATATGTAAGAAATTAGTAATTTTCATTTTTACATTAATATGCATTTAAAGCAAAATATGCAATATGCATTTTAAAAGCAAAAAAAAAATGTTGAGAAAAAATAATTAATAAAATAATTACTCCAATAAAATTCGCCCTAAATTTAAGAAAGATTGCCCTTAAACTAAGAAGAAACACGCCTTGAAAAAAATTGCAAAAATTGCGCCAAATTTATGAACAATTTTTAGAAATATCGCTCTAAATTTAACAATCACGTTCTTAAGTTAAAGAAAATCACCCTAAATTAAAGAAAACATTTATTTAGGAAAAATTGGCCTTAAAAAATGTGTGATTTCGGGCTAACATTTTTTTGAGTATAGAAAAACAAAACAACCGTATTGAAATTAATATTTTAAATGCTAAAAAAAATTAACCGAACTCAGAATAATAAAACCGTTTTTTAAAATTAGTTATATACATTAAATTAACTTTAATTACAAAAAACATTTTTGATGTTATGTCAGCAACAGAAAAGTGGGCATGGTTAAATTTAATTTTTGCAATTAATGTGCCAACTTTGAAGGCTCTATCATCAAGTTAATACCAAAAAATTCAAACAAAACCACTGTGCACTGTGCTACGCAGTTGTGTAGCGGTAACTTCGAAATTGCATTCGGCGCAAAGATAAATAGCGAAAAAAAGACCGATCACACCATAAGCTGACAGAAGGAGACAGAAAATAATTTTATGAGCAATTTCCCATTCTTAGTCAGTGCAGTACATAGGAGTCCACCCAATAGCATTTACATACGTCTTTGGAATGAAATACCCCACCATTTCTCCCCACAGAGTTTACTATCGTATAGTGAATTTCCTTTGCGGTTTCCCATGCGACGGCAGAACTGACCTACACATTGTATAAGTACTTTTCCTTTTGTTAATATCGCTTTGATGCGACAGAGCATAATTTTCTTGAAGAAACAAAATCTGAATAAAATTTAGTTTATTCTCAACAGTTTAAACAATCAAATGTATATTTATTAATCGGACATTTAACTGGCGCATTCGGATAAACAGAAAGTGAATTCGAAATAGAAAACATAAAAATCAAAAGCCTATAAATAAAATATATATATATAATAAAATAATAATAGAAAACGTCCAAGAATAACTTATAATATAATGTATAAAATAAATTTAAAACCCAAAAAAATATATAAAGATCTCGCAATTTTTTTATTTATCAATGTGAAGAAATTGTTATAAAAAATTGAAAATCAAAGGTGCCGCGAAAAACTAAAAATATAATTTATAACAAATTTATTAAAACCTATATTAAACAAAAATATCCCAAAATTGGTTGAAGGTTATAAAAGTGAAAAAGAAGAAATTGTTAAAAAAAGAAGAGTTTAAAATTGCCGTTATTAAATATAACATAACAAAAAACAACTTTAAAAAAGTTCAAAACTTAAAAGACAAAGGCACCTAAAATTAGAAGACTTTGAAAAATTTATAAAAGTGAAAAGGTGAGACCAATAGAATTTATTAAAATCAACGAATTCGACTTTTTTTTTAAATTTAACAAAAAGGGGGTTACATAAAAAAAACAACTTAACAAAAAAGAACGATCCAACAATCAAAGAAACTTTAAAACTGCAAAAAGGAACGAAGAAATCAACTAAACAGGAAATCAATTTAGGACGGCAAATGTGAACAGAAGACAGCCGATACCACGCATACTCTTATTTTTTTTTACAACTGATATGCTAGGCAATTAACTTGTTACGCCAGTATACACACCAAATAGACAAATTCAAATTTCCAAAAATCCGATGTCTACACTTACAATGCACTTTGGTCCAAAAGTCGATTTTTTGGCGTAAACTCTAAAAATTGACTTAGTGTTAGGTCTCACTTGCACACTATTTTTTTTAAAAGAGTAAAAAAAGGGGCAAAACAAATATTTTGTCTGTGCGTCCACGACTGCTTTAGCCTCCCATTAAAATAAAATTCCTAGTATTTTTGTTTGACTCTGAATTCAGACAAGTTACTTACATTTATATAGTGACATATCCACAGTCCCACACACTTATGTTAAGTATAATCATCATACCCTATACTACCCTACAATAGTACAAACACATAACACCCCTGCCAAGTTTCCATAAAAAAACCCCCAGTAATCGACGTCACTGGCTCTGACGTCATTATTGGTTCACTTTATCATTTCTCAACTTCATCCCCAACAACAAATGCATAAGCTGGTGCTTAGGCCGCTCGGCCTCTACATCATTCTTTCGAATCAAGGCGCGCAGCCGCAGCTGTTTTCGCATCAACAACAATACGGCGCTCTCTTTGGAGTTTCGCTCGCTGATCATCATGCAGCTTCATACACTCAGTCGCTCTTGACGGCTGTTTTTTCTGATGCACCCAATGCATATGATAGTAGCGCGCTCCTCATATTCGCGTTCTATCCATCTCCTGCTGCCTCGCTGCTTCGCTTTACTCGTGGATGGTTGAGCGATTGCGTTGAATTATCACTCTCTTCGCACCCATATTTGCAACAACAACAAAATCGGATAACTGTGCCCTTTTCTTTATGCAGCTTACTTGAAAAGAGTCAGCTTTTATACAGCGCTCTCTTCCGAGTTGCGCTCCCTTCACCTCCCGCTGCATCGGCGCTTCGGCCGACGTTTGGATGGCTTACTGGTGTTTTTGGAGTTCCGCTCACTTCCTCATGGTTGCCAATGGCAACCTCTTCTGTTGCCTCTCTTTGATGATGAGATTTCACCAAGGGCACTCATCGACTCTGGAAGTATCTGCAAGTTGGTCTTCTACGATTGAGCGAATGGATTGCAACTATAACCTTCGTAATGATAATCTTCCACTACCAATACGTATCCGGACTGGAATATTGCGTACGGCTCTGAATGGCTTTTTTGGACTTGCGAGGCAAAGACCGCATGTGGATTTTACGATACCATTTCATGACTTCGTTATGAAACTATGGCAACAGTTTCTGAGAATTCATCAATCAAAAGACTTGGAACTAATTGCCTTAAAATTTATTTTCAAAACATATCTGGAATGAGAACTAAAACTCAAACCGTCTACATGAGCACTTCCAACAGTTGTTATGACATAATAATATTGGTTGAAACCTGGCTCAACCCCAACTTCAACTCCAATGAGTTCTTCGATACTAATTTATTCCAGAATGAAGTGCGAGAGAGGTGGAGGCGTCATCGTGGCTGCCCGCCGTACCTTCTCTCTCGTCTGGACCAGTTGGCTGTTGAGGTATCTGGATTGTCTGGGAAGACTGTAATAGTTGCTTCTTACATTCCCCCTGGGAGTGACTTTACGCTTTATCAGGCGCATATGAATAACATTGCCAGGCCACATGCCAGCATAGATGACTCTGTTGGTCTCGTTGTGACAGGAGATTTTAATTTGGGATCTGTTGTATGGTCATGTGATCCGCAATCCCATG